TTTTATTTTATTTTATTTTATTTTATTTTATTTCATTTTATTTTATTTTATTCTATTTTAATTTTTTTTTTTGACATTCCTTCCTTCACCTTTTTGTCTCTTAATTTTGTGGTTGTTGTTACTTTTTGCTCGTAAAAGTCGTACATGACTGAATATTTATTGCATCATTTATAACAATTTATCATAACTGAAAAGCTTATCCAATATCTCAAGATCGTTATTTCAACTGAATCAAGTCATAAAACCTCTTGCAGGTGTTGCAACTAATCATTATTCGCAGTTCCGACGTTTTCAACCAATATGAAAGATCTACTTTGAAGTTCAGGGGTAGATTTAGGGGGGATGCCCCCGCTGTCACCATTTTGCTGAACAAAAATAATATTTAGAAATAAAAAAGCCAACAAGAAAACATTGAAAAATAAAATAACTCCCAAAATGTTTTTTGCACATTTGTCTGTCAATTTTGGTTATCATTAGCAAAGGCAAATTGCTTTAATTTGCGTACGAAAGTCATTTCAGACAAACTAGTATGGCTTACATAGTTTGCTTCTGACATAAATGTCAATAAGCGATATGCATTATGGCGTCATTTACTACAACTACCAGAATGCTTTGCCAACTTTCTTTTGTAATGCAAAGTACCAATTGTTTTATTAATCTYCWAGGGGATTAAAAATATGAATAACAATGGCAATGCGCAAGGCTCTCTGGTAGTTGTAGTAAAGTTACGTCATAATGCAAACGGCCTATTTATCCTTTTAAGAATGGTCTTTTCAAAAGTACATTTAATAAACTTTTTTTATAGTTCTTAAGAACTCAGCCATTGATGATGTAAGTTTGTTGAGTCTGCCGCTGAGCCGMAGAATTTYCTGAGCTCCCTCTAAACAAATACTCTTGACTCAAAAAATGCAGCCTCGATTTCTCATTTGCGTTTACAAGAAATATCYTGTGATGAGATTCTATAGAATTTGTCAGTCTCAAAGACAGTTGCAAAAGCGTTATCATAATTAATCCGGTTCCTCTTTTTTGCGCATCCAAACGTCCAAGCGCTGGCTTTGTGGCTGGAAAATGGCGGAAACTGGTTTCAAAAGCTAGCAATAGTAATATATAAATCGCCATTACCTCTACAACGCGGCATGTTTTTCCCTTCTTTAGATATTAKCTGTCCTCTTAGTATGTTCTCTGTTTGGTTTGGTTTCGGCCTTGGTCTTTTACATGCAAATGTTTGCTCTTTGATAGAAAAATACATTGCCTGCAGCTTTGAGTCTCGTGACTAGCACTCGATTATATTGCAGATGAAATARATGAACTGTCAGCAGAATCCGGCCTGAGTGTAGTCTATATTTCAATAATTTATTTGATTATATTTTAAGCTTTTCTACACTGGAGAAAAGAAAGAAAATTGTCTCATCTGAAATACTTTTAATGACCATCATGAATAGAAAACCCGGTCCATTTTGATAAAGCCGGTTGTATCAATAAATAGCCAACTATTATGCATAAAAAGCTGACACCAGCGTTCTACGAAAATCATACATTATCATGATTTATGCATTACGTTGATATTCGATGCATTACAGCGTAAATACATGTGAAATTCGCCGCATGAAACAACTGTTCAATAACTACCGTATATTCGACTTCTTCTCGGTCAGATTGACTAGAGCTGCAATTATTGACTTCTTAACTGACATCGGCGGCCTTCACTGGAAGATTTAACAATAATTCTTTTTCCTTTCACTTTGCATTTTTTGGAATAGCTGAATGTATTTTTTTCTGCGAACAAGCGATAAGTAGAAATGGGCAAGAAASGTTTTTTTCTATTGGACGCGTGCGTACATCCGGGACATCTTTATACAATATACTTTTTTTTATTTCTTCATGATTGAAAATATGGAAAATACAAGTGTTTTAAAAACGCTATAATCATACCATTATCTCTGAAACACCTATTTCTCACTTACGAAACGTTGTTGTTTTTGCTAGTGAAAATATCACATTCTTGAAGTTATGTTATGTTGGAGTTATGTTATTAATGTTATTTTACAATATCATTTGCTTTTATAGGTAATTATATGAGTCGCTACACTCACAGCTCGTGAGAGATCTTTTCGACACTCGAAGATGAAAAATCCGTATCGCCGCGCGTCCATGTAATATCCTCTATATTAGTGTGATGTAAAAAAAACGTGAAATAGATATTACACTATTACACTTTTGTGTCTATTTGACTATCACACTTTAATAGTCAAATTTTGTCATAAACCCGTGAAACATAATGTAATGATTAGAGTGTAATAGATCGTAATAGTCACGTAGAGACAATAAAAAACAAAAGAGCCAAAGTGTAATAGCGATAAATACGCTRAAGTGTGTTTCACGGGTTAATGAAAACCACTCTAAGTATCCATATAATAAACTAGACTAAACCCGTGAAACCAAATTTTATAATTACGGTAAAACTATTAAATGTAATAGTCAAATAAACGCAAAAAAAAACAATGGAATTATAACTTACTAACTTGTGTTCGTGTAAGGTCGCGACTACACGATTTTTCGATTACGCCGGCGACGCGATTTTCTCAAAATCACCAGCGCACGATGTGGCTGCACGAGTGACAATTCTGTATCGATAAAAAAATCCTCACAAATACTTTTTGAATCTTCATAAAGAGGTATATGTACAAAAACAGCTCAAATTCGATGTTCAGCTGTTTTTATCGTACCCGAAAATCGCGTCGCCTGCGCAAGCGAAAAATTGCTCGAGTAGCCGCGGCTTAATAACTGCGTGAGCTCACGATCTCTACAATGGTGTTCACTGTTAATTAGCGTAAAGGTTTCCTGCCTTCAAGAATTAGTCTGTCCAAAATGTGATTACAATGGTCATTCTTTAATGTCAGTTTTGTTATCAGCAAGACTTCAACTATGATGGGAAATATAGTTTTGGCAATTGCATAACAACAACAACGTAATTTTGAGTAGCATTCATTTTACTGAAACAGTCTGCTTGAGAAAACACACTAGAACAATGAACCTACTTCTATATATATTATCGCTAAGAAACTTTTGTACATATCTTTTTTTTAATAAAAATACAAAAATACATGACACCTTTGGTCTTTGGTATATTGTAATACATATACAAAATGCTTTTAACACCCTACTCTTGCACTTTAGGCGTTTTAGGCGGTTCGAACAGGTATCATACTGGGTTCGCGATCACGGGTAGAATGAAGTTGTCCTCCATTTAAGCTAATGGAAGATGTCTGAGGCGAATATTGCCGCAATAATACACTATAGTTTTATTCTCGACAAATTGAATGTTCATTTGTGAATTGATTTCTTKGTATTGAATTAAGCCAGTAACAATCATTCACTCTAGAATTTTCAACATTAATGGCTCATAAGGCAATCTCTCTCCAAGTTTGGGGGAAACCTCGCCCCAAAATGATCTATGATCATAGAAGTGTGTCAGGTATTCGACTATCATTGTGTATGCCTCTTAGCGTACGCATATACAATGATTTTGGTTCATTTAATTTGTTGCTGAGCGACTATTAATTATAATAATGATGATAATAATCCGAACAATAATGATATCGATAACTATGATGATAATAATAACACTAACGATGCCGAATTCAATAACTCGACTTTCGCGTGAGTAATTGGGATTATAAACCATTGATGAAAAACTGGGGTCGCGGCTTTCGAACTATACTACGAGCCTCACATCAACTTTCAAGCAACTATCAATGCTATTTTTACCTCGACTTAGTAGAGACCATGAAAAAAAATCTCAATTTACAAGAACTATTTTAAGATGTGTGGGCGTATACTTGACCAAGTGCATATTTACACAATTAATGTAGTTATTGACAATTTGCTGCCGCTCAAACGTCGCTACGCTGGATGCGACAAAAGGGTCTAGTTACAGGGAAAGAYTTGTCGTTGTACATTTTCATTACAAGACTTTCTCAAGTACTTTTAAAGCACAAAAATTCGAATTTTCAAGGGATAGTTTTTAAATTTTGTTTGAGGCCTCTAGATGTTTCCAGTGGTGATTTTTGAAAATGTCCCCATTTTATAAAAAGCAACATGCAGAGTACAACATATTCAAGGAGTATTCCAGGAGTTTTTTTGCGGGGTTATCCTATTTTTAAGGGCTTTAATTTGAAGTCAGAGTGCTATTGATAGCGATTCCAGGACTTTCCGAGGATTTCTAGGTGTAGTCCAAATAGGTGACTGTCTGTGATAGGTGAATCAATAGCAGCAATAATAATTACCCATAAAAACTTTCGGTGAAGATTCACTCATTCTTTGGAGTTAAAAATAGACATTAATTTAAGACGTCATCATTTGCAAATGCAATTCGGAACGCTATTCATGCTCTTCCTAGATTTACTCTCCTGGAGATAAGTAAACAAGTTCGACTAATTTCTTGACAAAAGAAAGCAATCTGCTGATTTCTGTATATGACGTCACCGCACATATGACCTATTGTTGATGTTAAGTATACAGGATGCAACGTCTGTCGCCTCGAAATGAAAGCAAATGAACTCTTATTTGAACATTTCACTGTGCATTTTTATGCATCTTCAGGGACCGCGGAGCAGGGGGGCTGGGGGCTATAGCCCCCACAATAATTTTTCCGCCATTTTGAATTTTCTTAAATAAAGAAGCGCAGAGCCTCCTTATGAAATTTCACTTTTCATTGTATTTAAGATTATGTAAAAACCAAGCATGAAAAATTATTAAACCTTTTTGYGAAGTCTTTGGGACTTTCTTGAATATCGTGTGACCGTGTGTGCGGTTTTAGCGGTCAGAAATATGTCTGGGATAATGCTTCAAAACGCTGGAAATGACATTTCCGAGAGTTAAGATTTCAAAATTTTACGGTGTGTAATTCCCCCGGATTCCACCTAGTACCTCCTGCCTTTGCAGCCGATAGCCCCCCCTAAAACAAATTACCGCTCCGCGGTCCCTGATCTTACAATGATTTTTTTTTCCAGATACCATGTACAGCTACTGGAAATCTGGTCGAGACAGTTCTTCTTGAACTAAAAATCATACGGAAATCCAGAGTAAATGCAAAATACTGTTAACTATAGATCATGATKTATTCGATAAAAAGAATATTTTGATAAACGAGCACTTTGTAATTAGGCATGCATTATGTACACGGCCGACTTGAAAAGTTTGAAGGTTGAAGAATTCTAACCGACAAATGACAAATTTAAAATGTTTGTGAGCAAAAAAGGAGAAATATTAAAAGGGGGAATCTTTCGGCTATATCGGAAGCTTGCCTGAAATTTTTTCTCGCCTTTTCATTCCGGCTGTCTCACGCTCTATATTTCCCGCCAAAAGAAATGAAGTTGAACCGAAAGGAGATTGAAAGGTGGTGTATATGTTTGTATTATTTTTAGAAGGCACATGTTATGAGCAGCCAATAGGATTCATTACACTTCATAAAGGTTCACTAGACAGCTGACCGTTAAAAAAAACCAAAATACTCGAAAACAAAAARCAATAAACTTCAGAACATTCGCTATAAATTTAAGTTCACTTAAAAATCCAATCTTCTTTCTATATACATTTACTTTCAATAAATTTAAATAGACTTAGATATCTGTTTCTATCTGGTGGAAAAAGATGTCATATCTAGCTTAACCAGTAAGCTTCGATTTTGCTAGTTTTTTACAAGACGAAACATTGACTCAAGAAGCGAAGAAAAAGAACAACAGGCCTTGTTTAGAACTCATTCAAGAAATGATCCACTTGCGCCGGTTCAGTTTCATTCAAGTATGAAAGAATAAAGTGTCTTATATACTTACGGCTTAATTCACGGATAAAATTTCCCAAGGCAATCAGTAGTGTTGTCATTGCGAATGTCCATCCAATCTTCGAAGCTAAACCTGATTTGGCATCGTTAAGCCGTTTAGCAATGACGGCGAAAGTTCTTTTTTGAGCTTTATTTGAGGAGAAAAATCCAAAAACACAACATGACGTGCCAGTGTTTGTACAAGTGAGAGACAAAACTTTATGTTGAATAGGACTGAATATATTAAATTCAACTCAAAGTGACAGACCGGACGAAGTGCGTTTATATAGTGCTGGCATAACATTTTTACAAGGAAACTTTTCATTGGATAATAATCAAGACACGTATGGTCAAAATTATATCAATAGGGTTTACATCCAAGTGGTCTTAAAAAGCTCAATACTGCGTTAGTTGACTGCACATAATGTTTAAGTGACCGACATATTTGATAAATCATCATGACTATACAAACAGTCATAATAGCAATAATAACAATATCAATATAAAAAAATATGACCATTTCAAGGTACCCATTGAATAACTTTATTGAAATCAATAATATCAGATATTATTAGATGTTATCGATAATATTGTTTTTGAGCTTTTTGTTAAACCAAAAATTCATAATATCAGCAACTTCAACCAATAATTTCTCATATTCTTCCAATGAAGTTGTTGTTTTGATCAAACCGTTCATAATTTTGACTATATTGTTGTGGATAACATGATATCAGCATTGCTCAAGAAGGATAAGAATGATACGATCATTGGGAAGCATATATTGAGAAGCTAAATTAAGAACCAATACATATCGCGGTAAGAGCGATAATTTGCGCATGTTAATTTTGCGAGAGTGAAAGATAATGCGGCGGATATATAACAGAATACTTTGTGTAATTCATTCTCTTTGAAGATTAGTAAAACAATTGAGACTAATTACACTACAAAAGAAAGTGAGTAAGTGTTTGTGCATCAAGAAAATGTCTTATTAAAAGAGCAGTGAAAGCCAATTGTTAAAGAATCAACATGKGAATGATCATGATGATAATGTGAAAAAAATATTCGTTTGAAACCGTCAACATTTCTTTTTAACCTGGTGCATTTCCATGGAAACATTTCAAGTGTTTTCAAAGATTAAATCTATTTGCACAATTTTCATTTTCCATTTAAAACAGCCTTTTATTTAAAAACTTAAGGCGTTGATCATTCGGCGTATTTGGCGTGTTTCATGAAATTAATATATTGCACATCTGTAAAATGCGACAACTTTTTAAATAACGTATGACTTCAATTGGATGTACCAAATTCAAAAAATGTTGTCGGATAAAAATAGCAAATGGCAATTGTAGTACGGCGATTGCACTACCGAAACGAACCATGGGTTTTGCTGTTGGAAATATTTACTGATATATGCTGTAAGATAGTCTGAGGTAAACATTTGCTCAACTTCGTCTCAATTTTCCCGCAAAATGAAGCACRAGTGATCCCCAAGTGAAATTTTGCATGTCAGAACAGCGTAACCATAATCCTTTTCGCGTGTCATGCAATCTACCTTCTCTTTAACCCCATTTGCTGTTCTCGCCGACAACTTTTTTTAAATAGGTGTATACAGCAACGATTTATTGACAAAAGTAAAAATTAATATACCCGAGGACAAACATACCGTCACGTGAAATATACCTTTGGAACCAGGCCTTAACGAAAAATACAACAATAATWTATTTTAATCAAAAGTGGTTTTGAAATCAGTAGTAAAATAAACGATAAAGACAGCAAGTGATTTTTACGACGTTTCGAGGTCATACTGTCCTCATTGTCAAGTACTTTTAATGGATAATAATTGTGGGCTAAAGTTTAGGTACAGAAAAAAATTTTTGTATCTAAACTTTAGCCCACAATTATTGTCCATTAAAAGTACTTGACAATGAGGACAGTATGACCTCGAAACGTCGTAAAAATCACTTGCTGTCTTTATCGCTTATTTTACTAATAATTTATTTAAGAAATATAAAACGGCGCGCGTATCTCTGTCCTCTGATATAAAACACGGTGGGAGTTGAAAAACACGAGAGACAAAAGCTTAGAAACACGAGCGTAGCGAGCGTTTCTCTTGCTTCTCGAGTGAAATTACATGCGCAAAATGCAATTAAAAATCAGTTAGAACTGGCGATTGATTTTAAAGAATAGTCAGTTTAGTCCCACTTACAATTTTTGTGGTCACCAAATTATAAAATTAATATTTTGATCCTAGAAAATAATGCCAAATAATTAACTTGTAAAATTCTTATTGGGTACACTAAGGTGAGCGAACTAAATGTCTCCCCAGAAGGATACGACAGAAATCGCCCRAAAATTCCAGCAAAGACTCGACGCAAAAATCACCAATTTAAACGACCCTTATCAAGAAGAACTGCCACTCTTATATCATCCCCGAGGACGTAGTCAATAGGTGATGGAGCGTTTACATTGGACTTGGAAGATCCTAATTGACTCAAACAAATACTGTAGTGTGCTTTTGCTATTGTTGCTTCGACATGAAGTCATTTCATTTGGCTCCCTCTAGCTGACTAGTCTGACAATAACCAGGGCAAGCACTATGTCGATCGAGCGATCTAAGGTTTATAAGTGATTCTTTATTCTTATTATTTGTCATTACAATTGATTTCCTCGATTTTAAGGATCAAAAGTTTTTTATCTTAACTTTATTACTATGTTATGTTAACATTTATTGCATTTTATCATTTATAATTTTTCTAAATGTTTTATCTTTCGAGCCGTGTACGTTATCCGTTTTTAGAATTTCTTGTCATATATTTTTTCTTTTATGACAAAGTTATCAGTTTGACTTCAGTAGTGAAGCCATTGACGAGGTTCGAAAATATCAACTTTGGCTGGGCGCTATTAGTGGTGTTAAGTCGAGGGTTTTGTGATGTCGTTTTGCCGTCGACTTTGGTGCTCACAATGCTCTGAACKCCGACATTCAGGGTGACAGTGATTTCATCGCTGGCTTTACCTTCTACACAAAACAACATCTTYGGACCAASATCTMYGGACGTTTTGGGGCTGTATAGATTTGTTTTCGGCTYGRMATCTGTGCAGGTMTTTTTGTTTACCATCGAAGGATCGTCTCCAAACTTGATAGTTGGATCACTKATGGCAAGATGTAGAGTGGTACCGTCTTTTTCTGCCATTATCATACACGGGGCATCTACAATTYSGACTGGTCCATCGGTGAGTGGTGCGGAAGTGAWATCTTCGAAAATCGAGTATCCATACACAGTAGTGGTGCTGCTTAAACCTGGGAAGCCTGTCAATTTGATGGCATGAGCTTTGGAGTCTTGTCTTATTACGCTGTATTTTYTAAACAAAGATCTGCTTGCTCCTGCAATGACAATTGCATATCGATAGCTGTATGTCTCTACAGAACTTCCAACACTCTGCTTTTTATTAGCGTCCAAATCTTCATTGTCATYATCGTGGYCATCATCATCTTCGTCATCAAYTTCTTTAACCCATTCATCAGCAAYGTCTCTTTTTGTTTGAYTCATTATTCGCGGATTAATGAGTTTTCTCTTCTTTGTRGTCGTTGCCATCTGATGCTTGAGATAAACAACTGCATAATTCCCCGAGGTATCAGATTTTCCGTTGGACTTTTTTGATGTCTGTGTATTTATTTCAACCGTTAGAATATTATCGCCTGTTTTAACTTCATATACGTTGCCATGAGTGTCTTCTATCYTCTTRSTTACTCCTGTCTGAAASGTTTTCTTGAAATTTTGGTTGTCGTTAAAATTGAAGGTTGTCTTGCTAATTTTWATCGTGCTTGTTTCTGGGTCGATGAGTTTGTCCTGGAAAAGAGTTGTTTGAGCGTAGTTGGTATTGACTTGGACGCCGCCGAGTTTTATATCACTTCCAAGGCACACAATCAAGTCACCATAGAAAAAATACGACTTCTTGAATTCAAATGTAGCATCATCCAATGGAGTGTTCTCTAAGCTTCCTTTCATTTSGTAGTCTGGTTTTACTAAATGCATCCCAAAAGCTCCATTTTGTGCCCGTCCGGTAGCACTTGATCCTATTATGYTGACTCCACCAGCAAATTTCCCTTCRTAATTGTAATTTCTTGCTTTGCTWRKTTGAGCTTGATCGATGTCCATTTTGATCGTAGTCGTACCAGGAACTCGTGTCCAGTCCCAACCGTTATCAATGTCGTACACATCTAATGCACTTTCGCTGTTCGATATCTGTAGAGATCCGTGACTGGCAAAAACTCCAAAAACGTTTTGCGTCGGACTACTTTCGTAATCCCAAACGTATCGACCAAATCCTTTGGCGGCTACACACCNGGTCGTTTATTGCTGAATTGGATAATGTTGTACTTATCGTGCGCTTTCTTTATATCAGCCGAGAGTGTTGTCCAACGACTGCTTTTTGCCGCTCTAAAGTCATACCCTGAAGTTTTCTTGATAGTTGTAGTAGACTGCTCGAGAGAAGACACTGCCTCTGTTGTGCTTAGATACCAGTTTTCAAGTCGACTTTCAATTTTTGTTATGTCGCCCATTTTGTTTGTTTTGTCAGAGATTTCATCTGGTGTCTGTGGAACTTCCTCTTCATACCACCGTAGTGTTTGCTGCCAGAAAGCTTTTGCAGAATAAAAAGGAGGAGGCGAGGGCGAGGGCGAGGGCGAGGGCGAGGGCGAGGGCGAGGGCGATGGTGAAGACGATGGTGAAGGCGATGGTGATGGCGAAGGCGAGGGCGATGGTGAAGGCGATGGTGATGGTGATGGCGAGGGCGAGGGCGAGGGCGAAGACGATGGCGAAGGCGATGGTGATGGCGAAGGCGAGGGCGATGGTGAAGGCGATGGTGATGGTGATGGCGAGGGCGATGGTGAAGGCGATGGCGAAGGCAGCTGACCAATGCGTCTTACAACAGCATCTCGAGATTGTTTACTTAGAGAACCAACTATCTGAACCAAGTCAATGTACAAGCTGTCAGCAGTAAGCGTGGTTATTTCAAATTCAATTGACGATAAGACCCTTAAATCAAATTGACCAGAAGGAAATTCTTTATACCCAATCCACACTGCTCTCCATCCTTTGAAATCTAGCGTTACATCGGTCGGTGAGCTTCTAGTTGCTGYTGAACTTTTGTCGGTGCCGACAAAAACAATCTGCATGGTTGTTTTCGGGGATTTGTTCGCRCGRTACATCCAAAATTTGATTCCACCTCGAGAGAGTTCTYTGCCGGTTCTTGTGTTCGTACCAAAATCAAGAGTCAGTTTCACCTTTGTWGAGGATTGTGCCCGTGTTGGCCACGCCCAAAGAAGAGAGTTACTTCCACTTTTGTAGTGCGCTGTTGATCGTGATAATGAATAGCCTGTGGATGTTGGACTGATTGTGAAGTAGTTATCTTTATCCCCAGCGGTTTCGAAGTCAATTTCTAGAAATATGAGAGCGATAGATATGCGTCAAAAAACATAAGGAACTTTTTAGATTATATAGACGAGAAAGAGTAATTTCCGACTGAAAACAAATAAAATGTTAAAAACGAAAGATACAGATATAGTTTTATTACTTTAATTCAACTTACTCCATTACGCACAGATAATCATACTATAATCATGTCTATTTCACTATGACGTCACAACACGGGAACAATCCGCAACAAAGGTGAAACACTTTTATTATGTTTTTATTTTTACTGATCATCAAATATAGCACTTACTTAAATCACTTGATGCTGATTGTCGCTTTTGGATTTTTAAGACCTCGTCATCGTGTCGTTGGAATTCATTTATTGTTGATCCTCGGTGGATTTCTAAGAATTAAAAAAATTAGCCACATATCGATGAAACGAAACAAACACAGGAGGCCGCAAATGAGGCCTTGATTTTGATTTGTTTATAAACGAAGATGCGCAGTCATATCTGCATAGTGATTCTACTATACCCAAAGCAGGACATTTTGTTGTGTTCCATTACATATAGGTCCTGATTTTCCATGTAAAGACGCCAAACGATATTGAATGTGGCAGTCAATTTAAGACTTGCATGTTCACACTTTGTCGTGCGATATGAGCTGCGATTTTGCGACGATTTTATTGYACGTGTAGACAGTCGTCCTACTCAATTTATTTCACCGACAAATTTCAAATGTTAGAATTTACTGCGATAAACTTGCAAACTGTCGCCGTGAATTGGCATGCTCGTCATTTGGATTTGCTATAAAATCGCCGCACAAATCGCAGCTCGTATCGCATTTAAAATAAAATAAGAGTGTAATGCATTCAAAATACCTGGAAAAGCCGTAGTACCAATGATTTGRTATCTCAATAGAACRAAGAGGAACGACACTTTGGCAATTTCTGGTAGTTAAAAATATCATATGAGAAAAAGTACTACAAGGAAAAATTAKKGSCTGAATRTATGAAACTAATGGTCACGCGGTGCACTAGATATTCTTCTATAAAAAAAGATTAGGAAACGGAAACGCTCTGGGTATGAGAATGACGAATCCAAAATTTGAATTAAGCTGGCTATTGCATTGATTGTAGCCTACAGGTGTAAGCCATGTTATAGAAATCTCCAGGAATGCAAACATTTGTTTTGGTTTTGTTCCTATTATTTTAGGAGTGAATAACAACTTTTTGCGGTCATTCCCTTTGAACTAGAAAAATAATGTATATTTTTTTCAATTCGATCGTGAAACTTTTAATGCAACAAGAAACTTCCATTTTTTAAGAAAAGGGAATGGTCCTCAATATTTGAGACCTATAGACTTTTTGGAGTTTTCGTTGTGAAAGAAAATGGCCAACATGTTATMAATTCAAAAGAAATTAATACTTTACGAGTGAAAGATAAAAAAAGATACCRAAAAAAAAGGAAAAAATGAAATCACAATATGAAAAGGAAAACAAAAAACAACAAAGAAAACGAAACGACTTTGTCAAAATATTAATATGTAAAGAAGAAGAATGAAAAGAAGAAAGGCCAAAATGAACTAAAAAATGAATGGTGAAATTTCAAAATAAAAAAAAATAGCTATTATCAATGTAAAAGAAATATACTGACACATGAAAAAACAAAGTTATAGCAAACAAAACYCAAGGAAACTCTTCTCGTACCTTGCCAATTGTATCGTGAGCCCATGTTGAGTACCAGCCTTTGCACCTCTTCAAGTTGCCTCTAAAAGTGACGTGAACTAGTGATGGAACCCGATATTTAACACAAATTTAGTTSGTTGTTATCGTTTTATAAATATGCAAAACATCCGGGCTTTAAGCACGGTACGTCTTGGTCATACCAGCAAAAATGTCACGCTGTCAAACGCCATTTAATTGCAGTCATTTTCTTCAAACAGAAATGTCAAAAATCTAGGATTAATTCACGGTACATGCTGGTTAGGTAGAGCGGGTTCTCACTTGATCATGTCATCACAATAAAAAGTTCTAGATTGATCTAAAAATCCGAAGCTTTTTGATTAATAATAATTCTTTTTTCCATAAATACCAGAAATGGTAAATTATAACATAAAATTTAACCTTAAAATTTAAAACATAAAATTTAACCTTAACAAAAAGATATACTAGCTGTCTAAATTATTGTACAGAACAATACTTTAAACTTTTTATATTTACAATAGAGTCTTCTTTCATTGACAATATATATAGAAATAAGCAATGGAACCTGTGAAGGACGGTTTTGTAAGAGTTATTTAATTTATACAGGCTTTCCGAGAAGGCTTTTCTTAGAATAACCATTTCGTTGTTATTGGATAACATTAAGTATTGAAATTCGTTACCAACTGCGTTTAAGTCACAAAGGTGACAACCTGACTCAACAGGTAGTTTGTGAGCAGAAATCCYTAATTTTACTGCTTTCCTATGGTTAACAAAAAAAAMCTCATTRGGTGTTTTGATTCAATTTGTTTTATCACAGCCAACGTTAAGCGATCACAAATTAGTAACAACATGAAATTATCATGGTTCGCTGGTTCCCAGAGCAATAGTTCACAAAAAATCTTTATTGAGAGTTCTGTATATAAGTATTCCGTTGCATCTAACAAGAAGAACATCTGAAACCCTTTTWAAAARKTT